TGTACCAACAAAAACAACAAAAAATTTTAAAGAATGGTTATATAAAATTCTGGGATCAAAACTTTGGGTTCAATTTACACAAATTTTCTATTAAATTGTTATGAGAATTTTTGACATTTGAGGATACAATAATGTGTTCGTCAGACTTTGTGGGTTGCAAGCAACAGAAAAATCTCAGGCTAATTTAATCACAGAAAGGAATTTTTTTTGGTTATAGATTGCCCAGTTCAAAATCAAGAAAGAACTTTGAAAATAAAAGACACTTAGGTAGCACCAGGATTCTTCATAGAAGCAACTAAGCTCGGTCTCTTTGAAATACCAATGTACTAAATAACACATTGGCTCTTAATTCCCTTATATTACTTTTTATGATATCATGGGATAGAGATTCTAATATGCCTGTTCCTTGGTTAGGAGATGATGGGGCACTCTGGCAACACCAGGAAGAAATATATGACATAGGGCAAAGAAAATTCCTAAAGTAGGAGAAGGTGTTATTACCAGGAGAAGAGTGGGTGTGGAGGAAGATCTTCAACAGATGTCAATTACAAGAAAGGAGACTGGAAGGTATCCATTGGATGTCAGTATATTGTACCTTGGACAAAGTTTCCCAATGACAGAATAACTGAAGGCAGGTTAATGCATTTAATACAAAATGTGTAACAGTTAAAGGAGGAAAAACAAACCCTTCAGATAAAAGGAACAACACTGGTGACTGCAAAGAGACGCAAGAGAAGGTTTTAAGAGGATTAAAACTAGATTCATAAGGATAGGTGTTTTATGAAAGAAATATGTAGTTAATGCTAGAAAGTTAGGTTGGGGCAGTTTGAGAAAGAACAAATTGAGGAATGAATTTCCTTAGGGCACTAAAAGTTATAAACTCTTGCTCTTTATTAGCAGCAGTGTGTGGTAGAGGGATTGATTTGTAGAAAGAGAAATGGGAAGAATATTAGAGAAGTAATTAGAGAATGTAGACTAAAATGTGGCAAGTGGTCAGCAAAAGGTCAGAACTAACCCTGAGATTTGAAGGCAATAGAAAATCTGGAGAGGGAGGGATGACATTAGGACATAAGGAAAATAGCTCCAACCTGGAGGCATCTGTAGGTGAAATGACTGAGGAAAAAGAAAAAGGTGGTCAAAGAGAAAATGTAATTGAATATCTAGATTCATAGGATGTGAAGGTAAGGGGCAAATGTCTCTGTCCATTTTATGCTGCTATGACAAAATCCTGAGCCTGGGTAATTTGTAAAGAGCAGAAATTGACTTCTCACAAGTCTAGGGGCTGAGAGGCCAATATTAAGTTGGCTAGTAGGTTTGGTGTCTGGCAAGAGTCCAGTCTTCATTTCGAAGATGGCACTTTGAACACTGTTCTCCAGAGGAGTATAATGCTATGTCTTTACATGACAGAAGACTGGCAGAACCAAGAGAACGAACTCCCACTTTTTATTAAGGAACTAAACCTACATGAAGGTGAAGCCCTCAGGGCCCAATCATCTCTTAAAGGTTCCACCTTTCAATATCATTACATTGCAATTGAACTTCAACGAGTTTTAGCAGGGATAAACATTCAAACCTATATCTCACTCTAGAAGGAATGTCTACCCTCAAGAAATCAATAACAAATGCTGACAAGGCTGAGGGGAGAAAGGAACCCTTCTTCATTGTTGGTGGGAGTGTAAATTGATATAATCACTATGGAAATCAATATGGCAATTCCTCAAAAAATTAAAAATAGAAATAGCATATTCCCTTTTTATGTATCTTCCCCAAAGAATTAAAAACATCATACCACAGTGATGTATGTACACCCATATTTATAGCAGCACAATTCATAGTAGCTAAATAGCCTATATGACTATCAACAGATGCATGGATAAAGAAAATGTGGTATATATACACACAATGTGGTATGTGTGTGTGCATATATATATATATATATATTTGTTTTTTGTGGTAAAGAAAGATAAACTTGAGACATTTGTAGAAAAATGGAGGCACCTTGAGGCCATAATGTTAAGTGACGTAAATCAGACACACAAGAATGAACACTGCATCATTCCTATTATATGAAAAATTTAAATTAAAGACAACTAAGTTAGGTAGAAATATTATAGTCAGTCAGACAGGGCTAGGCCTTCAAGGGAATCAATGCAGAAGAACAGATTACAGTTGTGACTGGAGGTGCATTCATTGAAGGCCAGACCTCAAGACAAAGGTGGAATGTATACATACCTCTCCAAGGGATAAGCAATATATTATGTTTAGTATTACCTGGTCTATTAAGTCTAGATAGGCATTAGTCACCTGGGTGGATGACCAGGACCTTTTGACTCATCTTTTCCAAGAAAAGTCCTGGTTCTTTCTATGCACACCTGCTATATGACTTGCTTTCCCATTGGATCAATATTACTTAAGCTGCTGTACTTGTAATCTTATTGATTGATCATAGTTTTATCCCATGCTGTATCTCATGACTATGTACCCAACTGGTGATTTTGCCCTATAAAACTTCCTCTGTAAAGTGGAGATGAGGCAACCCATTTTCAGGTCCCCTACTGCCTTTTGGAGCTCTTTCACTAAATATCTTCTACTTTTAACCTCCAATGATCCTTAGAGTTCATTATTTGATTTCGGGGAGCACAAGCTCAGTATATCTAACATCTAGCAGGTTGGGAGTTATATTATTTCCTCTTTATCACTTGGAGGTTCTATATCATCAATATACAAAAAAGTATGAAGTAAAAGACAGATAATAAGAAAAAAGAGAGAAAAAAGTTACTGTATTCTAAGCATGTTTCTACTATTAGTTTCAAGTTTCAGTCCAATATGGTGTAAGAGCTCACTCTGAAGGATTTCCATTTCTTTGGATACATTAAGGTCTTATTGTTGCTAAGAACATGGTGTATTTTGAATAAAAAAATAAATTCCTAGAATAGGACAATCTATGAAGATAGAGAGTATCTCAGTGGCTGCCTAGATTTAGGGGGAGGGATTTCATGAGAATAGTGGGTACAGTGTCTTATTTTGGGATAACAAAAATGATCTAAATTTGATTGTGGTCCTGGTTGTACAACTCTGTCAATATACTATAATCTACTGAATCATATGTTTTAAGTTTGTAAATTGTAAAGTGTGCAAATTTTAGTTCCGTAATGCTATTATTAAAAAATAAGAAGCAGGGGGAAAAGTAGGAGAGAAAGTGGAAGGAATGACAATTGAGAAGTATCCTGGAAGCCAAGGGGAGAGGGATGGCAAGAAAGGCTGGGTTAGTGATATCAAATGGCACTGATAGAGAAAAGGACATTGAATTAGATCTTCTTTTTTTGTTTCTCCTTGGTAGAAGCTAAAGTGCAATGGTCAGAGGAAAATGGACAGAGAGGATTTAGGGACTCAATGCTTAGCAATAAAAAAAGAGCAAGTCAGGCTAGTACTCTGAAAATGAAATAGGCAAAGAGAATTCTTTAGGAATAAATGAGAACCAGTTTGTCACAGGTTTCAGATAAAATCAGGAAAAATGGAGAGACTGAGAGAGAAGAGAGAGAATGAGAGAGATGAGAGAGAATGAGAATCACTAGTGGAGTAAGAGAAGAGACCAAGGCTGGTGTTTGAGGAACAGGTAGGTCAGGAGGGGGGCCTAGAATGCAGGAGGAGGGAATTGAGATTCAGAGTGACTGGCCATGAGCAACCTTGTACGTCCCAATCTGGAGTTTTTCAGCTTTGATCTTCTCAGTAGAAGTTGAGGGTAAAGCCTTCTGCTGAGAATAAGACTGGAAGTTCTGAGGCTTAAGAAAAATAGAAAAGATTTGAAATAATTGCTTTATCTGTTGAAATAATAACTGTCTGAATGGTGGAAAATAATGCTCTCTTTTCTTAATTCTAGAGACCTCTTGGTTTTGTTCCCAAATCATTGATTTCCCCATCCCCTGGGAAGAGTTTGGGAAACTTTTAAACAAGCAAGTAAGTAAGTAACATGATATTTACATTTCAAACTTCCTGTCTGTTATGAGGAGATGGAATAAGAAAGAGAGGAAATAGTGGAATCCCAGTGATAAACAACCCTGCTGGGGATGGAGGAAATGAAAGACAATGATCTGTGGGAAAACCCTGCAGGTGGGGCTGAGTGAACCTGATGGAGAAGCAGATGTTGAGTAGGAGGGAAAGTAGAAGATCAGGCTGACTGATCTGGGAACATCTAACTGGGGAGATGGTGACACCACCAGTCAAAGTGTGGGAGCCTGGGGGCAGGAAGGGGCTGAAAGGGGACTCTAGGGTCCTGCTGGAGGAGAAAAAGATGAGAATTCAGTAAGAGGGGGCAACTCATAAGGCCCAAGAAAAATCAGGCCTGAATGGTGTGTAGTAATCAAGAGAAACAAGGACTCAGCAGAAGCAGGTGATGAAAGCTGTTGGGCACTGACAGATAAGGCTAGGGCAGTGACCGCCAGGTCTTCCAGCAGGGACCTTCCCAAGGGCTGCTCATTACCAGCAGGCTCAGGAGGAAGTTGATGTGAGGGAACAGAATGTGAATGTGGGTGAATCTGAAATGCTTTGCTGCAATGGGAAGAGAATCACAGGGTGTAAATACTGCCAGAAAACTCAATGGCCTTTGTGAGATAGTTGTAATAATCAGCAAACCCAAAAGTATTCAAGTCCACCAGGATGAAGGAAGTCTTCCCTCCATGGAAAACTTAGTTGTAGTAAACATGAGAGTGGTGGAAAAGGGATCAAAAGAGACAAGATATAGCTCCATCTCTACAAAGATTATAATAATTCTGAGACCCCAGAAAACAACAGTGCTATAAATGAGGTGTGCAGGGTGCTGAGGTCCTTACAAGGGGCATGGAGTCTGGCTGGAGGACTCAGGAAAATGGAAGAGACTTCAGCCAAACTTGGACATGAGGAAGATGGAGTGATCTTGACCTGCTTATCAAGGAAACAATAAAAGCAGAGTTATAAATTAAACCATTGTGCCAATAAAGTCCTCCCAGTTGGTGACATAAGGGCTAAAGGTTTTGAGTAATCATTTACATCCGGGGGACTAGACAACTGGAAAAAGCAGAGAGAAATGTATTTGAAAGGAATAAGGAACCTGCACGCTACCTCCCTCAGGTTAGCTTTCCAAATTTTATCCCTTAATATTGTGCTTCTGCTAGGTGGGGATGGTTCTTTCTCTCTTTGACAGCAGTTTAATTTGCTGTTTGAAAGTGAGAGTTTGTGGGTGGTAAAAGAATGTCTCTCTCCTGACATAATTCTAAAAAGGAAGGGGGATGATGTTGTTTTTTCCTAATAGAAACTAGAACCCTAAAAATAAAAGTAATTAAATTCTCCGGAAGTACAGCTAGAGATAAAAGACAGAAATAGGGATAAAGATAGGAGAGAGAGAGAGAGAGAGAGAGAGAGAGAGAGAGAGAGAGAGAGAGAGAGAGAGAGAGAGAGAGAGAATATTATTTGAAGCATCTGAAAACAAACCAGGAATTTTAAGCTATATTTTTAAGGGTTTTACAGGAACCAAACAATCAGCATAAGATTCATGTTTTGGGCTTGCTTTTGTGGGATATATTAATTAGAAAATTTTTTTCATCAATTTTATGGTGAGACAATAAGTGCAAATGCTTAATTCTTTTTTTTTTTTGGTACCAGGGATCGAACCCGGGTCCTTGTGCTTGTGCAGCAGGCAGTGAAACCACTGAGCTAAATCCCCAGCTGAAATGCTGAATTCTTGTAAGACTTCTACCAGCTCTAAAAGATCAGATTAATTGAAACAGACCAAACCCTTCCAAAGAATTTATGTATAGGGAAAAGCAGAACAAATGAAATCACACATGGATAGCTTTGGGAAGTGATTCATGAGTGAAGAGTTTGGGGCAGTGTTTTTTTTTTTTTTTTTCTGAGACAGGGTCTAGCTATGTAGGCCTGGCTGGTTTCAAACTCTCAGCAATCCTCCTGCCTCAGCCTCTCAATTATAAGAGGTATTGTAGGTATTGGTCACCATGCGTGGTGACAGTGGATTTTTATTTGGGAGCTGTGAAAAACATATATGCACTGGTCCTCACAAGGAGCAGAGTTAAGAGCTGAGAGCAGGCAGAGGTGATGTTTGAGCTATTTACATCTTTGTGCCTTTAGTGATTGGTGACTCTGGAGGAACAGGACACAAGTCCATCGAAAGGGAGTAGACACAACAGTTTAGGCAAGAAAATTTAATTAGATTGCCTGGTCTGATCACTTTGCTGACACTTCCTGGTCCTAAAGAAAATAGATCAGGTTGATTTCCAAAAGCACAGTTCTACCTGGGCCTTCTGTCCCACATATGGATGCAGGGACACAAAGCCTACTTGACAGTCTTCCCTCAGGGTCTCACGGGTGTCTCAAACCCATGCGTTCTGAGCAAAACTTTCTTTTCCTCTGGCAGCCAGCCCTTCTCCATTCATTTCTCATCTCTACTGGACACAGCCCCATTTACACTTTTGCTCGAGTCACCAATCTTAACATTTCTGATGCCCCCTTTCCTCATTCCCTTGGCACCAAAACAGGTTTTTGAAGTGGCCTTTTTCACTCTGGCCAACCCCACCGAGTTACCATCAACTCTTGCCCAAGTGAAGGTGACAGCTTCTTCCCTGTCTCTTGGTTCTTGCTCTTGTCCTTTACAGGTCACACCACACCTCAGTGAAGTCTCACCAGCCCCTCAACCTAGACCCCTAAATGATATGCTGCCCTGCTGATTGCTCAGATACCCTCTCCTAACACGCACACTTCTCCTGCAATGCGTGGGTTGGATAACCTCAAACAACATGTCACACTTGCTGGTTCCTTTGCCGGCCTGCTCTCAGCCAGCACGGCTTCCTCTTGGCCTTGGACAGAAATGTTTGGTGCACCTAGAGCTGGTCCTGTAGTTAGACCAGTCTATTTAGGTGTTTAGGAGAGATCATTTTGGTCAGGTAATTTAATGCATTGGAATCCTCCAGTTGAAATTTCTTTTTTTAAAAAATTAATTTTATTGGTACATTTAAGGTATACAATATAATAGCATTCATCTCTGGAAATTTGCACCTTTACATAATCTCTCTTGGTTCTTATTTTTTCC